TACACCTCCATGTGACTTCTGTCTTACATGGGACAGATCTATCTTACACCTCCATGTGACATCTGTTTAACATGGGACAGATCTATCTTACATCTCCAGATGTCATCTGTCTTAAGCTTACATGGGACAGATCTATCTTACATCTCCATATGATATGACATAGTCTTACATGGGACAGATCTATCCTACACCTCTATGTGACTTCTGTCTTACATGGGACAGATCTATCTTACATCTCCATATGACATATGTCTTACATGGGACAGATCTATCTTACACCTCCGTGTGTCATCTGTCTTACAACGGACAGATCTATCTTACACCTCCATATGACAAAGTCTTACATGGGACAGATCTATCCTACACATCCATATGACATCTGTCTTACATGGGACAGATCTATCTTACACCTCCATGTGTCATCTGGCCTACATCAGGACATTTTTATATATCCTTTACACTCTTACATGGCTATGGGAGAAGATCCTTTAGCAGTTTCTCAAAAAGTCCTGAATATTTGTTTGTAATTTTGAAACAGGAGTTAGTGTAAACTATACCTTACCTATATCTACTGTCATTGATTAAGTTCCACTAATATAATACTTGTTTGTGATGTATGAACAGAAGTAGAAATAATAACATTACCTGTAGCTATGACTGAAGTTTAATAACCTGTATATTATGTTAACATATATTTTATGTATTTTATTGATATTGAAACAGAGGTGGAGACATGTACATTACCTGAGTCTAAACGCCTACTGATCCTCATCAATCCACACAGTGGCCCTGGTAAAGCCCAGCAGATCTTTGAAAAGGAAGTGGCCCCGATGCTTAACGAGGCCAATACAGATTACGAAGTTAAGATTACAGGTAAAGTCACTATTTTGTGAAGAGCACACCAGGTTCAACATGAATCAAGGTGTAAATGATAAAAAATATGACCATAAAGAGAATTTGGATATTTAAATGCATCATTATAGTAATATCAATTATCAATGATAAAGCATTATGCATATAATTATGTAGATTGGCAACACACAATTAAGTACATTGTACATGTATTTTCCTTCTTTAATGGTTATTAATTACATTTGATAATCCATAAAAAATTTAAGATATTTGATCAAATATGTTTTAATTTATCATCATCCCTCTGTTTCAACTTGCATGTTGTCCATCTGATATCCATTTGTGTGTGTGTTTTATTTGTAGAGCATGCAGGTCATGCCACTGAAATCATGGTTAGCTTGGATCTGTCCCAGTGGTATGCTGTAATCATTGTATCAGGGGATGGACTTATATATGAGGTACAAGCTATATAGAAACATAAGTTCACAGTGTATATTTATGAAACAAATTCCACTATTTTCATGAAGTCAGATGTAATCAGAATGAGTTTGAGAGTTTTTTTTATAAAATATTATCCTTACTAATAGTAAAATGATGTTTTTATCTATAAAATGAAGAACAAAACACATATGAGAAACACTGCCATTCATCATCTTCTGGGTCCTTGTGATATAACAGTATGTGTTGTCACACATCATAACAGAAATGTCACTGCATTATTACTCTGAATAATGATCATATGAAATGATAAAATGTCATCTAAGAAAATTGAATAAGGATTCTCACGGTCATGTTCACCACCTTTTACCATCATCATAAAACATCAGTAATGTATGTGATGGTGTCCTTACACTGCTTAATAGTCAGTTCATTTGATAAATAGAAATCATATTTCTATCTAACATCTAGGTATTGTTTTGACCACATCGACAGCAAACTTCATTCTGATCTGGAAATCAATGACTTAAAACACTGTTATCTAAATCACCTTTCCTCCATTGTTTAACTACAACTTGACCGACACATAAAGCTTACTACACTGTATTAAACTGTATGACAAGCAAGACAATTACAAATTCCATTTGTGAACTTTCCCTTCCATGATTGTAAGATCCCTGTCTCCCATTCTATGGTGTTTACATATCGCATTTGATTCAAATTCAAGACGATCTTGCTCTCAATTCGTAGTTTCTATAACAAAAGTTAGCTGGAGATGGACAAACTTACAAGTTACAACACAGGGTTTCAAGAAGTGCTTGTCAATAAAAACAAGTTGTATGGTCGCTGTCATGATCTCATTGGACAATATTCTATTGTGTGATTTGCAGTCAATGTTTTTACATAGAATGGTGATTAGTGTGCCTTGNATACTATTTTTTACTCAAATTGGTACATATTTCAACAACAAAAATAAATACTATAGACTCAGGTGACCGTTAAGGCCCATGGGCCTCTTGTTGTCACTACCCCTGTTCCCATGTTGATGATGTGACAGTACTTGGATATGCCCACAGGTGCTGGACACACTGATATGATATGTATGTTCTATATAATAGTACTATTATATAGTATATATACATCATGTTAGTGTGTCCAGCACCTGTGGGCCAAACTGCTGATCTTAAAAAGGAAAAGAACTGGTTCAGAGTGACATTTCAACTAGCTCAACACAATACCAGTCCATTCAGAAGAAACAAGTCCAGTTAATCTCTGGCCATATCTTATCCTTTTATCTTAAAAACATTGTCACCTGAATATGGTCCTGACCAGCATAGGTATACTTACTTACTAGTGTTTGATCATAGGTATGCTTAATTACTAGTGTTTGATCATAGGTTTGGAGATTTATTTGTCTTTGGAGAATTAATTTAATGTGCAATGTGCTTACATCTACATACAAGTATATAACCCCTTTGTTTTACAGGCCATCAATGGTCTGATGAAGCGACCAGACTGGGAAAGAGCTATCCAGTTCCCAGTGGGGTGTTTACCAGGAGGCTCGGGCAATGCCTTGTGTTGGACCATCAATTACTTAGCTGGGTAATTATATGATCAGGACTTATTGTGGAAATACCTTTCTCTCACAACCACTATAGGTCCTCATTCCCAGCTCATTGAGTAAACCTACTAGGACTTAGTAAACACTTTTGGTTACCTACTAGTGGGTAACACATACAGGGCGTGATTTTACTGGTCTATCTTCTAAATATGATGTCAAGTAACAATGATCTGCAAGGTCATCTAAATGTTGTGATGTCAAAGTTCATGGTTGTTTCCCTGATCGGAAACAGGAAGTATGTATTCTTAAAAGAAACATTTGGTTTTCTAGATATAACATCTTAATGTTGTGGGAGAAACAGGTCTTGATGGTTGGTTATGATGTTTATCTTACTCTTATTAGTTAATTTTTCAAATTGGTAAACCTCGTGTCTTTATATATTTTGAAAATTAACTAACTTATGTTGGATAAACATGATAACCAACCACCACTCATTGGGGAACCTGTTTCTCCCACTACCACTATAGGTAACCATTAAAGGTTTCCTCACCCCCACCTTGTAAAATAAAGCTGATTATAACAATACATTATAAGTCTGAATCATTATTATAAATCACCGACCTCCACGCAATTATGATTCAACCAATGAGAATGCAGAAAAAAAAGGTTTCTTCAAATTTTGGTTTGTCATGTCACAACAGCAAACAGTAATTGTATAACAACTCAGATGACTGTAAAGGCCTATGGGCCTCTTTCTTACACTATAAGTTACACTGCTGTCTATTAATATAGATATAACTTGTGTATTACATGTACCTGGATGTTTGCCGACAAGGAAGAAAGCAGTTCTGAGAATTATAGGTTATTGTTTTTAGCTCACCTGGCCAGAAGGGCCAAATGAGCTTATCCCATGGTGCAGCGTCCGGCTTCCGTCAACTTTTCCCTTTAAAACGCTAATAGTCCTGAACGGCTCAAAGGATTTAGACCAAATTTGGTCTGGAGCATCATTGGCCAAAGGGTTCTCAGTTTTGTATAAACAAAGGGTATGGTCCCCTTTGGGGCATAAGGGCGGGGCCAAATAGGGGGAAAATAGGTAAATCTTTAAAAATCTTCTTCTTCTCAACCAATAGAAGGATTTTGACCAAATTTGTCCTAGAGCAACTTTGGACAAAGGAGACTCAAGTTTGTATAAATGGAAGGTGTAGCCCCTCTGGGGGCGGAGGGGCGGGGCCCAATAGGGGAAATAGAGTAATTTGTTTCTCCTACTATACAAGTGAAGGGATTTAAACCAAATGCAGTCTGAAGCATGCTTAGGGACAAAAGAATCAATTTTGTTTAAACTGAGGTGTGTGGGGACCATTAGGGGAAATAGAGGAAATCATTAAAGATCCTCCTCCCTCTGTACCGTTGAAGGGATTTTAACCGAACTTGTTCTAGAGAATCTTTGGGCAAAGGGAATTGAATATTTATAAATGGAAGATGTATAAAAAGGTGCATGTGAGGCCCAATAGGGAAAATAGAGGAAAATTGGGACATAATATGGAAACTCATTTTCTTGGTGTCTTTCCCACCAAAACAGATTTATATATAGTTCTTGCAACTTTGTTTCTTGTACTTCTTTGATAAACCTGTATGGTACTCAGCAGGTTTCAAATAAAAAAAAAATAGCAGGTGAGCTATTAAGGCCCCTGGGCCTCTTGTTTCATTGAAGTATGAAAAGGAAAACAAGAGGCCCAGAGGGCCTGTATCGCTCANGCTTAGGGACAAAAGAATCAATTTTGTTTAAACTGAGGTGTGTGGGGACCATTAGGGGAAATAGAGGAAATCATTAAAGATCCTCCTCCCTCTGTACCGTTGAAGGGATTTTAACCGAACTTGTTCTAGAGAATCTTTGGGCAAAGGGAATTGAATATTTATAAATGGAAGATGTATAAAAAGGTGCATGTGAGGCCCAATAGGGAAAATAGAGGAAAATTGGGACATAATATGGAAACTCATTTTCTTGGTGTCTTTCCCACCAAAACAGATTTATATATAGTTCTTGCAACTTTGTTTCTTGTACTTCTTTGATAAACCTGTATGGTACTCAGCAGGTTTCAAATAAAAAAAAAATAGCAGGTGAGCTATTAAGGCCCCTGGGCCTCTTGTTTCATTGAAGTATGAAAAGGAAAACAAGAGGCCCAGAGGGCCTGTATCGCTCACTGGATACCAAAGCAATCATGGCAAAATATTCTCCGAATGAGATCAAGGGAATATGCCGGACCCCAAGGCCAATCCTTGTAGCATATCTGTATTAGATTCTTCATGCCCAGCAATTTTATGTATGGTTATGGGGTGGGAATCTCAACTGTTTCCAAGCTTTGACTCAGAAACTAGGTCCCTAGGGTTGTGGCCAGACCCCAGGATCAATTCTAATATCGTGACTGCATTTGTCTCTTTTTGTCCAGCATTTGTATATATAGTTTTGGGGTGGGGATCTCAACCATTTCAAAGTTATGACCCAGGGGTTAAGTCTGCAAGGGTGGGGCAGACCCTGGGGTCAATTCTAATATCATGACTGCATTCGTCTTTTTATGCCCAACAATTGTATAT